TTCCCGTAAACGCGAAAGGGTTGGGAACGAAGTTAGTTAACAGAGGAAGGGTTGATGAATCTCCACATGAACATCTCTTCGCCTCCCTGGGGATGGAGGAGATAGTGGAACGGATGCTATTTTCTTTCCCTTTTTTTTTCTTGTTAATTTGTGTTATCACACCTCGTGACTCGTAATCTTTTCTCTTTGAGTGACTTTTTTTAAAAGGAATGTAACCCTTTGAAAAAAAAAAATATATATATAACGTTATAATACCTTTGTTGAAAGTTTTCCTCGGACTTGGTATATTAATTTGATAACATATTTACGGCAGATTTTTTTAAATATCTTATAAATTTAGTACTCAAGCGTATTAATGTTTGCCCACGCAATTTCACCAAGTTTTGACATGATGACGTCGAATTATAAGTTCGTTTAGGAATTTGTTATATGAAAAAAAAAAATTTGTATTTATCTCGGACAAGAATCAAGAAAAGACATTACTCTTTTTTTTTTTCTCGAAAAAAATGAAACTTCACGAGCGTTCTTCCTTAGGGTCCTTCATAACCACGTGTTAAAGTTTCAGACAATTCCATGCACCAAGCTTGGAGAAAAGCTTGATAAATATCTTTCGCATGTTCATATTTAATATTCTCGGGCCTCGTACGAAGTGAACATTTTCGACTCGCGAAGGCACGTGGTTTATTTGGTGTATCCCCGACAATTTGACTTCTCAGATATATAAATATAAATAAATAAATAAATATATATATGAAAACGGCCCTGAGGACCACTTGTGCAGAAATTTATTTGTANATATTCTTGCACGGGGTCTGGCAGATAATGTTACTTCTTTAGGTTGAATTTCGGGGGCTCTATTTTCGTAAAGCGGAATTTTGGGGAGAATGGAAATGATGGAGTAGCACGGGAAGGGATGAAAGGGAGGTTCATGGAAGGGCGGGGTTCCAGCTTGACGAGACCGTTACTGCTGCGATATGGCTGGGTGGACTCGAAGTCACTCGGGAGAATTTCATTCCAGCATGTCGGTATCATTGTTGTGGCGCTGGGTACGTACATTGTCGGATATCCGGCGTCGTGCCACGGCGAAATTCTGACACTGACCGCGGTCTAATATATCCATCGGGTTAACGAGCCGAAGGAGCGGTGTCGCTTAATCGGTGGCAAGAGCCAATTGCGCGAGAGACATACCGCCGACAGGGGCTATTCAATTGGAAATCAGTGAGAACGATCTCCTTCTTTAACCCTTTGGCTACTAAGAGCGCCTAGAGGCGCCGACGTTTGGTCCAATATTGTCTGCACGGTCAGACGAATTTCGCCCATATGTCGAGATGGCTCCGTATACAAAGGGCCAAATATTTCCTTGGTTCATTGAAATTCTTTTTAATAATTATTCTCCGAATTAACGAAATATTTCTTTGGTGCTATTCAATTAACCCTTTGGCTACTAAGAGCGCCTAGAGGCGCCCGACGTTTGGTCCAATATTGCCTGCACGGTCAGACGAATTTCGCCCATATGTCGAGATGGCTCCGTGTACAAAGGGCCAAATATTTCTTTGGTTTATTGAAATTCTTTTTAATAATTATTCTCTGAATTAATGAAATATTTCTTTGGTGCTATTCAATTAACCCTTTGGCTACTAAGAGCGCCTAAAGGTGCCCGACGTTTGGTCCAATATTGCCTGCCCGGTCAGACGAATTTCGCCCATATGTCGAGATGGCTCCGTGTTCAAAGGGCTAAGAGCCGATTTCTTTTGATTTCGTATGATAGACTACAATGTGATTCGGTAACAACGGACGTTCGACCTTAAGGTGATATGGAAGTGTCACATATATATATATATATGCCAAAAAGTCAAAATATTTATAAAACTTTTCTCCAAACTGGACACAAGAAATTATCGAAAACTTTAACACGTGATTATGGAGGCGCTAAGGAAGAACGCGCTGCCCGTGAAATTTAATTTTTCGAGAAAGAAAAAACAGAAAAGAAAAAGTACGTGTTTTGGTTCTTCTCCGAGATAAGTAGGAAATTTTTTTTGAAAAAAGAAATTTCACGAGCGCGTTGTTCCTTAGGGCCTCCATAATCACGTGTTAAAGTTTCAGATAATTCGGTGCACCCAGTTTGGAGAAAAGTTATATATATATTTTTACTTTTTGGTCCATACACCCACACATATATATATTTTTTTGTATAACACCATAAATGCGTCTGTTCGAAGTTACGCAGTAAGCAAAGGATATCTTGAATCGTCTATGTCGGGATTTTCTAGTCCAAACGGAATATGGCTCGTTTCCTCGTAACGTTTGAACGATTATTAACGACACTCCGCGGAACACCTCCGCGTTTAATTCACCGCAGCATCTCCGCTCTTAAGGCGGCGTTGCGCAAGCCGTGAAAACGATCCACCCACGGGATGCGAAGTGGAAAGAAATCTATATTCAGGGTGCGTGGGCGCGCGAGGTATCACAAAAATGCAAATGCCCCTAGAGCGTGGCTGCGCGTGCGCGCGACGCCGCACGAGAAATAAATAACGACGCCGCGCGGCGCCCCCGCGCTTTTCGGCCCTGCCCCTCGCCGGGAGCGGACGCCGACGTGTCGACGGCGATGTTCATGCGTCGAATTTATATGGTACGTGTAATAGCGAGTAAAATCCGCCGAATGCAACGTCGATGTTCATATACGACAATTCTTTTGCGGTGCACTTAAGATGATATGAAAGGCGCTGAGAAATTTAATCGACGCCCATAAAATAATTGAACGCATAGCAGGAATTAATCACTCTTGATGAACACGTACACTATGTTACATTTAAACAAAATGCATCTCAAAAATAAAAAAAAAGTATTTGGCGAGTTTCATCGATTATCCGTTTTGCATATTTAAGAAATCGCATTGAATTCGAGATTTTTGCGAGTATTAATATTATTATATTCGTTGGGAACGGACGGCGATGTTCATGCGTCGAATTTATATGGTACGTGTAATAGCGAGTAAAATCCGCCGAATGCAACGTCGATGTTCATATACGACAATTCTTTTGCGATGCACTTAAGATGATATGAAAGGCGCTGAGAAATTTAATCGACGCCCATAAAATAATTGAACGCATAGCAGGAATGAATCACTCTTGATAAACACGTACACTATGTTACATTTAAACAAAATGCATCTCAAAAATAAAAAAAAAGTATTTGGCGAGTTTCATCGATTATCCGTTTTGCACATTTAATCAATCGCACCGAATTCGAGATTTTTCCGAGTATATATATTATGAGGCTCGCCAAATAGTTTTTTTTTACCGCGAAATTTTGTTGAAATTTATTGTGCGATGTGGGTACACATATTGCAGACATTTCATACAGCAAATGGTCTGTAAATTGTTTTTTTTTCTTTTTCTTTTCGATTGTCCTCATCCGATGATCATGAATCTCTATCTGGGTTATTTCAAGCCTGCTTAGCTGTGAAATCTGCCAATTCCTGTTGCTGGGTGGGATCGTTCCGGCTAATTGGCCGATTCTAATCGAACTCCTTGATTGGCGTCGCGGCGTCGGCTCGTTAATTTCACTCGAAACTTTTCGTCCATTGCGCATTATTTGGGCCCGAAGTCTCGGCTCACGGATTCAGGGCACGATTTGACGGGCTCGCATTACAATGTCTAGCGGCCCGAGGAGAAGTCGAATTAATTCAAGCCGGATATCGGCGCTAGACCGGAAATAGGTGGCCGGGCCTCAGGAAACGTGCCGGCTCGAGCGGAAGGCAATTAAGACTTGTTACGGAAGTCGGGTCCTCGTGTGATTTATCCACTGTTACCGAGTGCCGATATTGACAATAAAGTCCGCGTGTTGCTCCGAAGGAAACGCCGCCGAAGACTCGTAAATTCGGGGCTTTCATTTCGCCGCGCCACCCAGTGGCGAAAATGACGAGAAAGTTGGCCAAAATCTCAAAAGTGAACTTTGTATTTTGGAATTTTTGATCGTCGGATTCGGCAGAGGAGTAGTTCGGACATTTGTTGCCAAAAGGACGGAAGTCTAATTGTTTTTTATGTCAATTTAAATTTGATATTCGGACGAACTATTGGCATCGCCACCCAGTGGCGAAAATGACGAAAAAAATGGCATAATTTCAAAAGAGAACTTTGTATTTTGGAATTATTGACCGTCAGATTAGGTAAAGGAGTAATTCGGACATTCGTTGCCAAAAGGATGGAAGTCTAATTGTTTTTTATGTCAATTTAAATTTGATATTCGGACGAACTATTGGCATCGCCACCCAGTGGCAAATATGACGAAAAAAATGGCCAAAATCTCAAAAGTGAACTTTGAATTTTGGAATTCTTGATAGTCGGATTGGGTAGAGAAAGAATTCGGACATTTGTTGCCAAAGGGACGGAAGCCTAATTGTTATGTATGGTTCTGTATGTCAATTTAAATTTGACACTCGGACGAACTATTGGCATCGCCACCCAGTGGCAAATATGACGAAAAAAATGGCAAAATTTCAAAAGGGAACTTTGTATTTTGGAATTATTGACCGTCAGATTAGATAGAGGAGTAATTCGGACATTTGTTGCCAAAAGGACGACAGCCTAATCTTTCAACATTTATCAATGTAGTTTTAGAAGTCAAAAATGTGCTAAGGTATGAAATTTAAAAAAAATTAGAAGGACTTTAAATATGGATCCATTTAGTTAGGGTGAATAGGCTAGAATAATTTCGTTAGGGCGTAGGTTTAATGCTAACCCTTTGGCTATTAAGAGCGTCTATGGGCGCCCGACGTTTGGTCCAATATTGCCTGCACGGTCAGACGAATTTCGCCCATACGTCGAAATGGCTCCGTGTTCAAGGGGTTAACTTGGGAACTTCACATCCAATGCATCTATTTTCCTTCGTCTTAATAAATACTTTGGGGATTATTTCCGTCGATTCATGTTCGAACCGCCTAATGAAATGTCGGAGTATCGTCTACAGGTGGGTTTCTACGTTTCAGGTGAACTCCTCCTCGCCGGTCCCTCGGTGGTCCCGTCCAGCAGAGGATGACGGACGAAGGATGAGCGAGGAGATCATCATCAAGGCCTTCGGTGGCAGCGGAACCGCGAGCATTCCGTTCGCCGACGAAGATGGGCCCTCCAGGAGTCCTCGTCGCAGCCAATCGCGAGTCCCCGGCAAGGACGAGCCCTTCGAAGGAGGTCCTCTTCGAGGTCGGGTCCAGCAGAGTCTGGGCAGCTTCCGCAGCTCCACGGTGAAGGGCAACCTGGAAGTGAACTCCCCCTCGAAGAGGCAGCAGGGATCCTCCTCGGAGGTGAGCTTCCCCAGCAAGGAGACCTCGCAGTTCCGCCAGTACTTGAAGACGAGCCGTGCCGACGTGTGCGCCCCGGAAGTCCTGGACAATCCCCTGAGGCGGTACGAGAACGCGCTCCTGAAGTACCAGAAGCCGGGGAAGTTGCGGCCGAGGAGGGAGGTGAGCCGGGACAGCAGCCACGGTTACTCGAGCAGCGACGACAGCGTCGTGAGGAACAAGTCTAAGAGCACCAGCTCGATCGACGCGCAGTCGCTGAACAACATCCTGGACGAGTACGAGGACCTGGACTGCGGAAGGTCCTCGGACCTGAGCGACGCCGGCAGCATAACCGTGACGAACTTCGAGGCCGTGATGGACCTGCAGAGGAAGAGAGAGGCGTCTAAGCTGAGGAGTTCCCCGGGGAAGAGCGCGTCGACCCACCAGGAGGAGAGACCGCGAGCTACAAAAGCGAACCAGCAGACTCAAGTGCGCCAGCGATCCCGAGATCGGGCCCAGAAGGATCCGAACCAGGTCGAGGACGGTCCAAGGCCCCCAGGAATCGCGTCGTCCTTCGTGAAGAAGCTGGAGAACGAGCCCCTGCACTCCAGACCCAACAAGGTCCCGGACTCGTTGCTGCGCAAGGGGGAGGTTCAGAAGCGGGTGGACGAGTGGTTGAGCCAGACCCAGAGCCAGAACTTCAGCAAGGAGAAGGTGATCTTGGTGAGGTCCAACAGCAACGCCGAGCAGAGGTGCAGAAGCGGCGCCAGGATCCGGTCCATGGACGACGGGAAGGAGTGGACGAACGGGACCACCAGCTACGACGATCTCCGCAAGGAGGAGCCCAAGCAGGAGCGCAAAGTGGAGCGCGTAAGCGTCGGGGTTAACACCGGGACCAGGGGGACCTACAAGGAGTACCTGGCCGCGAGGAACAGGTACGCGAAGGACTACGGTTTCGCGGCGACAGGGTCGTCGGTCGCCCCCAGGACTCGGGACCCGAGTCCGGGCTCCAGGATACCCCAGAGGGGGCACTCGGCCAACTCCAGCTTCCGATCGAAGAGGTCGGAGACCGGCGAGGCGAGCGAGGAGAACGTCGCCAACAGTCCAGGACGGTTCAAGGCTGCAGAAGCCAAGGTCGCCGCGCGACCCAGGCCAGACCCCGAGCCTGGAAGGCCGGTGGCACCCTCGGTCTCGGTCAGGCGCTCGTCTCTGAGACCCGCCCAGGTGTCTGGACAGGCTCCCCTGGGTACCTTCGCCAGGGACGAGGTCCCGGCCAGAGGGAGGCCGGGCCCGAAGGGCAGCCCGTCCTCGGGAAATCGCGTAACCGAGGAACCAGCCGCGCCAAATAAGGACGGTGAAAGTGGTCGAGCACCTCTGCCGAGTGAGGTAACCCGCGCCGGGAGCGTCGGCAAAGGCGACCCCGCCAGGGGACCACCGGAGACCATCAGAACCAGCGTGGACACCTCCGAGAAAGCGGGCCCCGAAGAGGCGAGGTCGCAGGACCATCTGCGCGCCCCCCCGGGTCCCGTCGTCTCCAGGAGGGAGACCGCCGCGACGGACCCCTTGGCCAAGGTGGAGAACGCCTACGGACCGGTCGGCTCGCGGCTGCGCGTTCTCCAGGGCCACGTCGACCCCAGGGACGCGTCTCGCGGCCCCAGGTCGACCACCAACCCCGTTGACTCCGCCAGGAAGATACCCGTCCCCTCCAGAGGGCCCGTCGTCCCTCCAAAGAACGAACCCACGCCCACGTCCGCCTTCAAGCCCAACAACGCCATGTACGCGACCCTGTACCAGTCCGAGGCCGCGTCCAACCTGGGGACCAACGCCGTCTCCGTGGCGAACGAGTCCGTGACGAGGTCCCACTACGCGGCCCCGAAACATGTCGAGAAGATTTACGAGCGCACGCAGCCGCAGGTGATGCGTCTGGATGAAGACGAGGACCCGATCAGGAGGTCCGGGGGCAGACCCCCCGTTTACGGGGACGGGTCCTGCCTCGGCCAGGACAGGCTCCCGGAGACCCCCGGGACTCGCAGGCAGGAGGAGGACATCTACGAGCGCATCCCCGATGCCCGCTGCGACCACCTGGAGACCATCGTCGAGGACCAGCGCGACGAGTCAGGCGATATCCTGAGGTACCCCGAGATAGGGCCCGACCAGTGCCTGCGCTTCCAGAGACTCCCTAATCTGCCGAACGGGAGGACCAAGGACTCCACCCCGAAGGAGACCATCTACGCCAGGCCCTGGGACAGGCCCAGGATATCCAAGGACCAGAGCAACACCTTCGGCGTGCTGCGCGGCAGCCTCGAAGAGCCCAGGGAAGAGGGGACCAGGCCTCCTCAGGGTCAGGGTTGCAGGTCCTCTTCGTCCTGCGGCTCTGGGACGAAGATCGGGGAGATGGACCACGTCGTCCTGGAGGACGCCGATCTCGGCAGCTCGCCTTGCTCGCACTCCAGGGAGGGGAGCAACCTGTCCAACTCGAATTTGGAGGCGTCGGAACGCTCCGAGGCTCGCTTTCTCGACGAGGGGACCAAGGGGAAGAGCTGGGGGACTGAGGCTCCCAACCTCGAGGATCTTAGGGTCAAGGAGCGGGAGGTGGCTGAGCCCTCCAGGCATGGCGATAGGGCGCCGGTCGTTAAGGAGGTCCTCGTTAAAACTCTCCAGTTCGATCAGGATGTGCCCGAGAAGCCGAAGACCGAGCCCGCTCTCCTCGCCGAGAGGACCAACGCGAAAGTGCCGTTCAACTTCCACAGTGTCCTCAGTGATGATTATCCCAACCCCATGCGACTCGACAGGGAGAACAAGGTGTATGTGACCAGGGAGGAGATGGAGCGCCAGAAGATGATGGACTTGCTGAAGAAGGGCGACTACGAGGCCGTCAAGGCGGTGAGTTGTTACGATTTTCTTATTAACGCCCTCACGTGTTCCTCGTGCAATGTTGGCATGTTGGAGAACAACTGGCCAGTCAAATTGTAACACATTATATATCATATTTAATTCAAACGGGGTGCCGTAGCATTTTTTCTGCTATTTATATCGGATTTTGGGTTGCTATCGGAAAGCAACGTGGGGACGGAATTTAAAACTCACCCTGCTTGGAATTACCTGCCCCGTTTACATCGCGTTATCCTAAGTGCTCACACAAAGCTCACGCGTTGCCATGCAATTCAAATACAAATATAATTGTTGGGCGCTTACAGCACTCGAGCATGGAGGAAATTCATTTTGACATTAATATGTCTCTGGGCGGTTTTGTAAATCATTCCTTGTAACGCTGTTTACATTTTCCGGGGCCCGCGGTCGAATTTAATTTCCGAAGCTTTTTTTTATTGATAATTACTATGAATTACTATTTTATAAACTGGAAAATCGTGTGGATTTCAGAGCGTAAATGAATGGAATCCATTTAACGTGATTTAATTTTTGCACAGACCCCTTGTTGGAAAATTGGTAGTACTCAATTTTTCAAATGATTATATTTTTTTAAATATCTGTAAGTGGTCTTCGGGATTTGTCGACAAAAGTCACTTTTCCACGTTTTTATATTTTATATGATATATAAAATATTGCCTTACGGTTTTATTTGTAACGAGTGTTTATTTGCTATAGCGCGATTTTAATGATTTAGGGTTTAATTAACTTGACGAACTGTAAATCGAGATCAATGGTTTTATTGATTGATTTATTTCGTGATAAGTTGCCGAACATGTGATTCAGTGTGGGGTTATCACCTCCACCTTTCTGATTACGCACCTGATTGTGTCTCCGCCCTAATTAATCCGCAGCGATTTTTCCACCTGTCCTAAAACTTATTCCGCATATTCTCTCATGCAAATTGTATCAGACTTACGGCGTTATCGGTCGAGCTCGGTTAACATTTCACGTCGATACGAGGTTTAATCGAATTAATTCCCTCCAATTTACTCCGTCGCCATATTTAATTCCCTCCACCGTGCCATCACCCTCGACTCAATTTGGGTTTAATTCCAATCTCGGATTCCACGATTTAGAACCGGCTTCACCAACTGCGATTATCGTGAGATTTCTTAACAATGATCACTTAGAATTCCTGGTGCCTCGACAAAAAGTCAGTTAATGGAAGAGAAAAAAATCCGTCCTTTAGTGATAACCCGAAATCCGGCGATTAACTCTAATCCTGCGTTAAGTGACCCTCGGTTAAGGATTCTAACTTGAGTTTTGGGGTAACCTTAGGCCAGTTGGACCAACGGTTAGCGGTGAAATTTCTTAACCCGCGTTTATTTAATCTCGGTTTAGTAGAATCCACGTTGCATAGATAAAAATTAAACTGACCGGGAATAAAAATCTGCCGTTAAGTAACCCGATTAGCTTTGATCCCAAGTAACTCGCGATTATTGATCTTTACGCAATTGTCCGTGCAACTGGCCCCAAGAAAGAACAAAATCATGATTAAGGATTTTAACTTGAGTTTCGGGGTAACCTTAGCCCAGTTGGACCAACGGTTAACGCGTAATTTCTTACCCACGTTTATTTAATCTCGGTTTAGTAGAATCCACGTTGCATCGATAAAAATTAAACTGACCGGGAACAAATTTCTTACCCACGTTTATTTAATCTCGGTTTAGTAGAATCCACGTTGCATAGATAAAAATTAGACTGACCGGGAATAAAAATCTGCCGTTAAGTAACCCGATTAGCTTTGATCCCAAGTAACTCGCGATTATTGATCTTTACGCAATTGTCCGTGCAACTGGCCCCAAGAAAGAAGAAAATCATTCTCTTTGTCATTGCCGATCGCGATCGGTATGACCAGTCCCAATTACCGGGAGTTTAATCGAGCGGTTATCCAGTATCGTTGCTTTAAACGAGGATTTCTTCAGCAACGCCTTTTAGGAGTACTCCAGCGCCGCTGGTGTACCTTAAGGTGGGTTTTGCTTAAAGAGGCGGAATAATTAAAAGAGACGTGCAGGGAATGTCGGGCGAAACTTCGTCGACGGGGGTTCGACTTAAATCGCTTTGTTAACGAGTTTAAAAGAGCGTGGCCTCGGTCGCACGATCGCCCGCGAGGGGAGAGTCAATTTAATCGAGGTTAAAGGTCCCGTTCCCAATTCGGCGATCGTTCCTTTCCACCGTGCACGTTCTTTTGCGTACCCGTAACGAAGCCATGGAAAGCGGCTCGAAAGCGCGCGATGAAGACGATGTATTGGGTTTGCAACTAAATGATCGCGGCTTTTGTCGATAGATGGTATTTAAAAAATCCGCAACCACTTAGTGCGATTGCCTTCCCTATGAATTATGGTGCCATCGGTGGGCCATTCATTCCGCCCCAACTCAGAGTATCGCAAAGCCTTAAGGGGATGTGAAAGTGGCATCCGAAAGCTCAATAGTTCATAAAACTTTTCTACGAACTGAGTGTCTCAAATCATTTCATACTTTAAAACGTGAATATGGAGACCCTAAGGTAGGTCCTAAAACTCGCGAAAATTCATTTTTTATAAACTATTTTAAAAATACCTATAATGAAATTTGAAAGGAATTGAAATTTCATGAGTTTCAGGACCTTCCTCATAGTCTCCCTATTCACGCTGTAAAGTTTCAAACTATTCGGTAAACCGAGTTGGGAGAAATGTATTATAAACAAAACCTCTTCGATGCCACTTTCAGATCACCTTAATGATCCCAGCTGATATATGTATGTATATATATATATCGATTCCCTTCTAACGTATTCCCGGAACCGTGGAATGCCATCGGGGAGATATCGCACCTCCTCCGAGGTGTTCGCCATTCCTGAGCGGAATTACCGTGGGGTAACTTTTCAATCGCGGAAACGCACGGTCTTAATGATCCCGGCTGATATATCAATTCGCTTCTAACGCGTTCCCGGGACCGCGCGGTGTCATCGGGGAGATATCGCGCCTCGTGGTGCATCGGCTGTACCCCGGGTCCCCCGGAGGTGTCGGCCATTTCGCCGCGGAATTGCCGTAACCGGTGGATTTACGAGCTCGCGGGCGAAGTCGCGCGCGGCACACGCGGCGGCGCGGATCCCGCAAAAGAAAAGCCGCGCGCACGACGAGCAATTTATGATTCAGGCATGCCGAGAACCGTGCATTACGTATACGGCGATCGGTAAGGCTCTCTCGAGAGACGCGGCCGCAAGAAAGACGTAATAAATCGTCCGAGGTGCGCGTAAAAGGTGCGCGCGTCGCCGACCGGTCGAGGCCCTCGCGTTTCCCTCGTGAAATCGCGGAACGGCTCGCGGACCCGATCCCGTTAACGGCGTTCGCCACCGAAGTGGGGACGATCGCTTCCACCGCTGGATGGCATTGGCAAAATTCGGCGTTAATTTTAACAGCTTAACGGCGTTAACTTTAGCAGCTTAACGGCGTTAATTTTAACAGCTTAACGGCGTTAACTTTAGCAGCTTAACGGCGTTAATTTTAACAGCTTAACGGCGTTAACTTTAGCAGCTTAACGGCGTTAATTTTAACAGCTTAATGACGTTTGCCAACAAAGTGGGGACGATCGCTTCCACTGCTAGATGGCATTAACAACGGCATTAGCAAAATTCGGCGTTAACATTAACAGCTTAACGGCGTTTAACAACAAAGTCGGGGCGATGATTTCCACCGCTAGATGGCATTAGCATCGGCATTAGCAAAATTCGGCGTTAATTTTAACAATTTAACGGCGTTAATTTTAACAATTTAACGGCGTTAACATTAACAATTTAACGGCGTTAACATTAACAGCTTAACGGCATTCGCCAACAAAATGGGGACGATGATTTCCACCGCTAGATGGCATTAGCATTGGCATTAGCAAAATTCGGCGTTAACTTATCAGCTTAGCATAATCATTTTTCTTCTGTTGAAAAATTAACTTGACATTATTGCGATTTAAGTATATGCACTACAAAACGTAGGATAAATTCTTTTTATTTCTTATTCGATTTTTAGCATATATCATTTCTGATAGATAATAGAATAAAACAAAACGTAAGTGCTCGAATGCGTGATCTCTCTCGTGTTATAAAAATCGTATGATAATGTTGCCCGAAATGCTTTGATTTATTTCAATTTTTTGAAACATATACTAGACCATCAGGCAATACTTTTTTCCTTGCGTTGTATAATGTAGTTGTATATTTACAAATGTCATTCAAAATAAAACACGAACACTCAATTGCGCGATTTGTCTCGTGTTATAAAAATCGTGTAATAAGGTTGCACGAAATGCTTTGATTTATTTAAATTCTGTGAAACATATATTATACTATCAGGAAATATTTTTTTTTCTATCGTTGTATACTGTAGATGTATATTTAGAAATGTCATTCAAAATAAAACACGAACACTCAATTGCGCGATCTGTCTCGTGTTATAAAAATCGTGTAATAATATCGCACAAAATGCTTTGATTTATTTAAATTCTTTGAAACATATATTATACTATCAGGAAATATTTTTTTTTTCTATCGTTGTATAATGTAGATGTATATTTAGAAATGTCATCCAAACGTCGGGAGGGTATTTCTGTAATCGGTGCGTTCCTTATCGCTCGGTCCCCATCTCCGGTGCAACGGCAGCAACTGCAACTGCATCTCTTATCGCGGCACAGAAGGGACGGGCAAGTACTTTCGGAATCGAATGCGGCACCGCGCTGAGCCGTCCTTACCAAATATTGATGCAAATAGCGTTACACTTCCCCCGGAATGGATACAGTGGCGGTGCATTTGAATCAGCATTTGGTAACACGTGCATAGCGCAGCGGTGCATTTCGTTCGGTAGCCGACGATCTGAATTGAATAAATAAAGTGAAGGAACGCAGTTTCCTGAATATCATGCATTTCGGGGATATTTCGAGAGACCTGACACCGACGGTTAGGATTTTTGCAATTTACCCGA